TGAGGACTACGAGTAGTTTTGAAGTGAAGGTCAGGCTCACCCAGGGGACAAAAGACAAATTTGAGCCTTTCAAGGTAATCTATGGGAGATAAATTACTTATCTCTGCTAAACTCATTCATGTTATTTTCATAGTTTCTCTTTTTTTTGCTTTATAAAATATATATATAAAATAGGATATATATATATAAAAGGATTTTTGTAGCATTCCCGTATAAACAAATGACATAACATAAGAATCAGATTTTTCTTTACTTTTTTGTCTGAGCTCTACACTATTCTCTGTATGTGAGAAAGGTTGCAAGTAAGCATGACTTTGTCTAGAAGGATCACAGGCACACGTGGAAGAAAACAATGTGCTTTCCTCACCATGCACTTATGGTGGGCTGCCACCTTCTGGCTGTCAGACACTAGCAGCTGCCCGCACTCCTTGTCCCGATTGGTTCTGCAGAAGGCACACTTAAGCAGCCGTGCTGCAGCTCCTTTCCTCTGTCCTGACATGACCAAAGGCTCTTTTGTTTGCCCAAGCTTCTAATGAAAAAACAAAAACAAAAAAACACCACAAATATGTTAAAGAAAGAATGACAAGATAGCTTTGCATAACACAGGCTAGTAGAACCTTTTAAATAGATATTATCAAAGCAGTTATAAAAACAATTGTCCACTTCACTAAGTCATCCAGTAACACTGCCATGCTATGTCAACTGCAATAATCATTATAACAGCTTTCATACACATTGATGCTCAGAGTCCCAGTCAATGTAGATAAATAACGAAAAGATTATGGCCCAACACATTAGCAGGTAATATAACAACATATTTTTGAGTTGTTCAGTTATTAATGTGTTCATAACTAGTGAAAAACAATTGTACATCTACATAACCTTCCATAGTAAGGGTTGCTAAATATCCCTTACATATTGAAGAGTAAACTGTGGTTTGGAGTTCTCTTACCAATTAATGTGAGTACTGTGAAATAATGACTAAAACCCTTTGGAAAGGAGCCATTCGACATGCTTTCCCAGAAACAGCTGGAAACAAGACTTTGACTAAACTACTGAAAGTAACTCCAAAACAGTGCAACGGAAGTCACATAAGAAGCGGCCTGTGTCCTAAATACACCAGCCCGTGATGGATCACACATGGGGCCCACGCATTTGTTGCAGGACTACAGCTTGACACTTTCTCAACTTCTGATCCTAGTTAACTTTGGTGGACTGTGCTGTGATGAGTTTCTGATGGCCTGAAGTGTAAAATAGTAAAATAATAAATAGTAAAATCCACGGAATAAGAATATACTAAAATTGCCTAACAATGCCAGAATTTTGCGAGATCCTGCCTATGTTTGAAGAGGGTTATCAATACTGTTGTTTCTGTCGTTTATGTTATACAGACAATATGGCACACCACATGCTGACAATTAACCACTTTCACCAGTCATCTCAGATCAAAGTCTGATGAATCATGAACGGAAATCAGCAGCAGAACTCTGAACCTGAAGGACCAGATCTGATGCCACCCAGTTTACCTTAAACATACAGGCTTATTCTCTAAAAACAAAATACATTATTCAGCGGAAACCGGACATGTTGGACTGTGAAAACATATGAATTACCAGGAGCTGGGGTGATTTAAATAAAAGTATTGTTATTGTATCAATTTCAGCTGCATTTTAATTAATCCTTTTAGATGTGTATTAATAATCACTTGCTTGAAAATCACCCAAGACTGGTTGCAAACCCATCACTGTATTCTTCAGAGCAGAGAGGTAGATCAATCCTCCAAATGTGTGCTGTCATTTGCAGAGATAGTCTGTTTGATGCTGTCAATATTGCGCTGCGGGCGCCACAAATGCATTAAATATGGGGATTAAAAAAGACCTTCTCAATCCCTAATAGTCCACCAACGAAAGTGGGTGTTTTTAAAATCACAATAGCAGTGTGCTGCGACGCCTTGATAGAGCCATTACAGCCACGATAGCAGGGCCATGATCACACTGCGGCGGCTCCAGCGGCGGAGCCAGCGTGTAAATACACAATCCTGCCCGTGTAAATAACACTAAATGTCCTTTATTTCCACCTCTGCTCTTCACTGAAATGCTCCCACATCACATTTCTTTTCTGCATGGCCACGTTGTGGTCGATTTGCGACAGGAACGAGTGAAACATAAAAAAGTGCCTCAAATATCTCTCACAAAGTTTTGAATTAAAGGGGGTGTGTGTCTCTATCCCCCACCGAACTAGCTATAACTGAAAACTATTCTCACTATGAACATCTCAAACGCCCCGAAATCTTTCCCAGGGCCTTTACATGCAGGGAAATAAAGGTCGGTGATGGGAAAATATGACACTTGGACTTTATGTTTCAGCTGGAACCCGAAAAACTGCGAATATTTCCCTTTAAATGTGGGAAATTATCATGACAGGCGCGGGTCTTCGCAAACCGTTTCGAAGTAAAGAGCGCCATACGTGATGTATCCCTGTGAAAAGAGAGCAGCTCAGCTTGTACGCCAGCAATACGGCCTGAAACGACAATAGGCCATAAAACACAGCGGGCTATCACCCAGCCGCTGATACACAGCTCACACCTTACCTGCTAAAAAAACCCTTATGGCGCCGAGACGGTCGAGAAGATGGAAAAGTGTTCCGAGCAGTGGCTGTGTTTCTTTCCGTCCTTCAGAACTGATCGTGAGCTTTTCACACTAGCATCAAGCTAGCTGCAACGTTCAAGACGGCAGGACTTCCGGGTATGACTTCCAAAATTAAGGTCTTGCTTACGAACGTATGCTGCTTTGTTTCAAACGTGAAAAGATGCAGGAGGTCGGAGTCATGTAGGAAACGAAAACAAGTGACTTTCATTTTGAAGTATCAATATCCCAAAAGCAGATGTTACCTAAGGGCGGGCCATGTTTAATGCAGATTTAAAAGAGGTTTGACAGACTGCTATGGGGGTGTCTCTAAATCTACATACTGTATTTGTGAACTACATTTCTTTGTCTTATCTTTTCTGGAGGCATTAGGTGCACTTCATTACCGTTACAAAACAAGTGACTTTAATTTTGAAGCATCAATATGCCAAAAACAGTTGTTTCCTAAGGGTGGGCCATGTTTCAGGAGGAAAGAGGTTTGACCAACACCAGTGAGACGCCAAGAGTTGTTGCTGCTAATTTCAGGTGTATTTGTCACAAAAACTGAGAATAAACAGTATAAATGCATAATGCAAAGACAAAGACTTGATCAGTTCTGCCCCCCTCCCCTCCCCTCCCCTCCCCTCCCCTCTCCCCACCCCCTGCAGTCGTAGGTTCAGAGTGTGGCAAGTAGTTCTGGGTAATTTATGTATTTGTAGATTTGTAATAAATCTTATATATTTGTTACACATTTGCACCTCTTTAGTAAAATATCAGCTAATGCAGGTCTACACAGGTCTCAAGATTTGGTTCATCCATCCAGCCATCCATCCATCATCAACCGCATATCCTGCATATAGGGTCGCGGGGGAAGATTAGGTTATCTTATTATTTTAGTTTTTACTCTGCTCATATGGTGCATATTTATATTATAAAACATAGTTATTTTAATGGAGTCTATAATTAAGTTTCCATGTATAGACATTTCTGTGTGATCTGTATTTAACTGGGAAGATATGTGCACAATGCACAGTTGGTGTTGTGTTCAATAGGAATCTTCCATGTCAGTGACAGGTTTAAGGGTTGACTACTTGACTACTTGACTACTAAAGGACATTATTATCCTCCAGAAAGGCTCATAGTTGTGAGTTGACCAGTGAGTTTTAGACAGACCAGCCCAGGCACCTTTGTGTTATCGGAACTACCTGGGCAATAGTTACTAAACACCACAAAGCACAGTTTCAATAAACTTGCAATATTAGTTTTAAAAAAAGGATAGTATTTAGTAGCACTGCCATTCGGATACCTTTTTTTATAAATAACACAGAGAGATGCATGATGTAACATAAGGAAGACAAACCCTCTGATGCTTTTCACATTTTTTCAACATCTGGATTGCTGTATTTTCCCAGATTTCAACCCACAATGCCTGTCATCAACTGTTGGTGGGAGCATGATGGTGAATCAGTAATGATATGGTCATATGGTACCCATAAGGACCGAAAATGTTCAGCATTCAACGTTATACTATTTAGCATGTTGTGTAAGTATAGACTTCAGAGTCTGGATCAGAACAGTAATTACATGGGCAGAGATCTCTGAGATTCTATCTAGCTATCTATGACAATGTAAAACAAAAATGACAAATGGGGCCAATCCATCCCAATTATTTATCTTCTATCCTAATTATTGTTGGAATAAAAGTTCAAATAAGAGTTTGATTTTAAAAACTGAATGCCACCATCTTTTTTGTCATAAACACCCAGATCTAAACATAGGTGACCATTTATGGGAAATGCTTGGGAGTAGTGTAGCATGAACACAGGTATTAGGGATGTTACTTTTGCAGGACATTATTTAGGAAAAGTTAGTTTAATATTGATTGGCCTACATATTTCACAAGAGTCTTGTGATTTTTGTGAATTAGCAAAGGATGTTTTACACTGAAAATAGCAAAACATGTTGGATGGATGTAGAACTTGATAAGGAAAATGAAAACCTAAATAAACCTAACGCTAATAACTATTATTCTGTTCGTTAGAAATGATAAAACTTGGTTATTCTAGAAGTAATTCTAAACGTCAGATTGCATGCAGATAAATTGAAAACAACTGTTTCTAAGCCTACAAATGCTTTGCATGTTCTTTTTGCAAGAATTTAGTTGCACTTGATTAGAGTTACAGGGCGGTCCGGCAGAGGGGAGCTTTCAATGCGGTCTTCAATCTGTCCACCCACACGGAATTAGTGAGCCCTGAAACACGCACACCTCCAGCAGAGAGGGCGTTTCCACAGCTTCAATTCAGTCAACGTGATTGGCTAAAATAAGTGGCAGTCATTTTGTAAAGCAAAACATACCCGCCTAGTGTCCCCGGGATGAGGACAGGACGAGAGTTTCAACAGAAGAGAACAGGGAAATGAAGTTGTCAGACAGGCCAGCCCAGCTACTCTCTCTTTGCAACTAGGTTAGCAAGTAGTTTGACAGACGGTCACGAGTAGAGAGATTTAGATGAAATATCACAGCAATGAAGGTCGTCCGTCGGAGCAACTTGTAGCTACAACTAGTAACGTTACGCGTCGTAAAGCAGATAACGTTACAGACAGTTCAAAGTGACGTTACAGTGGGAAAAGAAAGTGGAGACAACTTGCTAGCCTGCTAGCTAACCTTTAGCCAACGAGCCTCCTTCAGCTTCAAAACTAGAGTTCACTCGGTGAGTCTTGACAGCTTGGACTAAATATTTCAGCAGTGTGTTGTGTGTGCTTTCCCCGGTACTCGCTGTCCACGTAAGTTACTGACGCTGTTTGCTTGTTCCTGGCTAACCCACCGCTAACTAGGTCACAAGCTAGCTCAACTTTGCTGATGAGTGTTGCTGTAACGTTGACCGTTTTTACGTCTTAAGTTCCGTTATATCCTCTTTTCTTTTGTTAAAAAGTCAGTTTTATTCGGCTGGGCTAATGTTAACTTGGAGAAACCTAAAATCCAGTGCAAACACAACGTAGAAGTGTAACTTTAGCGCTAAAGTGCCCGCATTATCGTTGAAAAAGTAACTAATTTAAAGTTAGCAGCGTTAGCTAGCTGATCGTATTGGGCCTTTAAAACTGTATCGTTAACTCTACAGTTTACTTTTAAGTGTCGGGACAGTATAACTAACTTAGCTGTATCCTTGCGTTCTTCAGGTGCGAGTTTTTCAGCCATTTCCTGATGCAAAGATGTACAGGAAGTTGCAAAGCACATTCGAAACTTATATATTTGAAACTTCTTTCATCAGAGATTTGGGCTTGGATTACCAGTCTTCAGTCATGCCGTTTCCGTTTGGGAAGTCTCAGAAGAATCCAGCTGAAATAGTAAGGAGTTTGAAAGAGAATGTGGCATACATGGAAAAGCTGGATGCTGGAGACAGCAAAAAGTGTGAGAAGGTCAGCAGGTCTTATCTTTTCTCTCTCATATTTAAAATTTAACTCTTATTCTTAATACAAACAGCTGGTCGTGGTCATGAACTGCTTTCCCTAATTAAGATTGCAGAGGAGGTGTCCAAAAATCTGGCTTCACTGAAGGAGGTACTTAGTGGAACAGGTGACAAGGAGCCTCAGACCGAAGCAGTGGCCCAGCTTGCACAAGAGCTGTACAACACCAACCTCCTCATTGCTCTCATTGCAAACCTGCAGAGGATTGATTTTGAGGTGGGGGAAATGTACTTACTTCTGCACTGTACTTACTTCTGCACTGAATTTATGCATGTAAAAAGTATTGATCACTATGTGCAGACACCACAAGGTCAGTGGCAGTGTGTACGCCTGATTTGAACATCTGTGCCCAAAGCAAAACAGTCTTTGCATATCACCACCACCCAGTCATCCATTCATCCGCCTGAGTGCTTAGTGTTTGTTTGTCTGTTTTTTACAGGGGAAGAAGGATGTGGTTCATTTGTTCAGCAATATTGTAAGACGTCAGATTGGCACCCGAACACCCACGGTAGAATACATCTCTACACACCCACAGATCCTGTTCATGCTTCTGAAAGGGTAAGTTCATATTTTCAGGTCACAGGACTTCAGTATTTAATAGACATTTGACATGAATGCTGAATATGTACAGTTACAATTATTAAATACCAAAATATTTTATTACTTAAAACAACTTTTTGGGTAAAATTACTCATTTAACAAAAACTCTTATCCTCAACATGGATTTTCTTCATTATCCAGTATGTGTTTCAACAAATCCCAAAGGAACGAGCGTGAACTTGTTGCATTCACCTGTGGGTTACACATGTAGATGGAGAGTGATAGTAGTGCTGGTTTTACAGCTCTAAAAACTGAGTCATCCTGCCTACTCAAAGAGCAACATGGCTTGCGGCTGCACTGCATTATGGTTTGTTTTGCAGATCAAATGCTACCTTTGCTAATTGCCACTTCTGTAATGGATTTTCTCCTCCCATGTTTTTGGGCTTCGTTCCAAAATGTCATGTCTATAAAGAGCACAATTCAATTTGATTGTCAGAGATGGACATCAGAACCTGACATTTAACGGTGATGTGAGATGATTCTCCTGCTGTTAAGGTGTGTGGCGAATTGTCTGCATTTGGCTTGTTATCTTCAGGCACAGCAATAATATCTCACCATGAAAAATGAGGCCTAGAAATGTAAAGTCTTTGACTTTTATTATTTGCTGTTTTTCTTTGTTACATCTACAGTATTTGTTTTATAACCAGCCTTTGTTAAATTCTGATTATGTAAATTACCTGGACCTGATATTTATTAACCTGTACAGATATGAGAGTGCAGAAGTGGCTCTAAACTGTGGCATGATGCTGAGAGAGTGCCTGCGTCATGAGCCTTTGGCACGGATGGTGCTCTTCTCTGAAGACTTCTTCTGTTTCTTCCGTTACGTTGAGCTCTCAACCTTCGACATCGCCTCAGACGCTTTCGCCTCATTCAAGGTATGATGCCAAATTTTCTTTCTGTTTGCAGCATCTTCATGTTAACAGTTGTTATCTAATATCTTGGTCTCTTCTGCTGCCTCTCAGGATCTCCTCACAAGACACAAGATCATGTGTGCAGATTTTCTGGAGAACAATTATGACAGGGTGAGCTTTCAAGTGTGGATTTTGTTCTGTAATTGAAAGAATTCTCATGCTGTGCCTAACATACGTTTAAAATGTCTGTCAGGTGTTTACAGAATACGAGAAACTCCTGCATTCTGACAACTATGTCACCAAACGGCAGTCTTTAAAGGTAAAAGCTCCACTGATCTTTCAAATAAAGATCACGGTTTAACCTTTATTTATTTTGCAATGAATTTAACAAGGTCTTAATAATATACTGTTTTCAGCTCCTTGGGGAACTTCTCCTGGACAGACACAACTTCACTGTCATGACAAAATACATCAGTCGGGCAGAAAACTTGAAGCTGATGATGAACATGCTAAGAGACAACAGCCGAAACATCCAGTTTGAAGCGTTCCATGTCTTCAAGGTGTGCACATAAAACATGTATCATCAGTTCAGCAGTTTTACTGTTATAAGTCTAGCTGTACTTTAAAATGCTACATATCTGTTTTTGAAGATATTTGCTAAATGCTGCTGACATTACTTGGTAATATATTGAAAATGGTGGGGTTTTTTTAAGAGAAGTTTGGACTGATTATGGGATGAAACTTTTCACATTGTCAGTTCACATAATTTCTCTCTCTTTCTCTTTCCTTTTTTAAAAGGTATTTGTTGCAAACCCCAACAAGACTCAGCCCGTGCTGGACATACTGCTGAAGAACCAGGCCAAACTCGTGGATTTCCTGAGCCACTTCCAGACCGACCGATCGGAGGACGAGCAGTTCTGTGATGAGAAGAACTATCTGGTCAAGCAGATCCGAGACCTGAAGAGGCCCACGGCACCCGAGGAAGCTTAAGGCGGCAGGGATGACTGCTCCTTGAGGTGGTAGATGTATAAGTGATGGCTGGAGCTGCAGAGGGCGGAGTGAGAGTCTAAAAGACGGGCTTCATTAAGATTTAATATTAACAACAAAATATAGGAAAAAAAGATTACTTCTTTCACTTTCTGTTTTTAGTGTGGATGTGGAGGTGATTTCCATCCAGCAACCTGTGTGGGCCAAGAACTGTTATTTAAACCATAGTGCTTCTTTAGTGATAATGAAATGCATTTAGTCCGTTCTTGTAATGTTGGACCTTAAACTGTTACCCTTCCACATACAATGTTGCTGGCAGAGACCTTTAGACAGAAACGTTGTCCCATTCACAGCCAACATGAGCTCTGAGGTGTTCTCGAAAGTCTTTCTCCGAAACCTGTTCAGAGATTGAAAAGCTAAAGTAAATATATTATTTTTCTAATGTATCGTCATGGTAAACAGCTTAAAACCTACAAATAACTTTTCTCTCTGAGCATTGTTTAGTCTAACTAATTGCATAGGTTTGGTCTGTTGCCTTATTGTGAACAGTTGTGTTGTACAGGGACTTAAATGATATTTAGAAAAGCGGCTTTGGCGGAGTGACATGTGGATCACATTGGCCAGGTGGGCACAGTCAATTTTTGGTGACAAATGTGTAATTATTAGGCCTTTGGTTGCATATGTGAGGTTACAGAGGTCAGAGATGATCCTGCAGTGCTGTAGTTGCCGATGCATTAGCTGGCACAGGAAGAGAAAATCAAAACCATAGAGGAATCAATTAATTGTGCTGTGATTCTGAGACTGCGCTCAGCAAGGCTTACATGACTGAAATAGAAACAAGGCATCAGATAATGCTGCAGGGTTTCACTGCTAACATGGACAGCCAGGATATACCAATTGATTTCACTGGGTGCATTCCAGTTCACCCCCACACACTGAGCACAGTTTCATTTAAAACAGTGATATAACTAACAACTTCTTTATGGGGTTTTATACTGCTTGATGTATGCCATCTTAGGTATTTCTCCTTTACAGCATAAGCACTGCATAACACAAGAAATAATAAAGCAGTTTACGCAAGGGTGTTGTCCATAAGGATGCATTATCAAGGATGTTGCATCTATTATAAATTTATATGAGAGCTTGATGTGGTATTTAAAATGAGTTGACATGGTGAAGAGCTCTGACACATATTGAACATCTGCTACACTCGATTTGAGAATTGGGCAATCTGAACGTAATGGACATTTTTATTTGACTGGAATATTTAGAATATGAATGAACTAGATCACCTTAATCTCATGTAAACACTCACATCCATACTGTTACTTTAACCGCAAATTATACAAAAAGAGAAGAAGGTGAATGCTAAAACATACACATGATTTTAAATGTCACTTTTTTTTTTTCTGATAAAATAATACATTTGAGTGAAACACACAGTAACAAGCCTGTGATGCATCAGGAAGCACGTCCTGTCAGACGTCCCCACGTTGTCAGAATAACCACATGCACTGTTAAAACAAGAATGAGTTTGTTTTTGGATGATGAGCACTGAATTTATTGAGTTCCTCACATGCATCACTGATTAGTTATATTTCTTTAAAAGACTTGAAATAATTGCCTTACTTTTGCCATTGTCACTAAAATGGCATAATAGGGATTTCAAGAAATATTTTGTCTTCTAGTATAGCTATACCTCATTGGATTTGAGTTTGCAAGTGCTGTGTTCTCTTTCCTTTCCTTCCTAGACGAGATATTTTGACAGTTTAAAATACACGTATGCATGCCTAAACTTGAGATATATATATATGTGTGTATATGTTCAAACTTGAACAGGGACTGCGACCTGGTTTTCACAATGGAAAACCAGATTTGTAAACTGAAGTATTTCATTGGGTGGTGCCACTCCAACGTTAATTCATAATGAATTGCAGTGTGGTACCTTGTAATGAATGTTGCCTTATTTAAAGACACTTAATGAATTGTAATGATTATGTAAAATTCCAGACCTCTTAATTGTTTTTAAACCAAAGTCAATATGAAAAGGTGAAAATGTACATTTCAAGTCCCAAATGCATAAGTAATTAATTTCTCAGATCCACATGTAGTGTAACGTCACACCAACTACATTATGCTCCAGTGTGATCCTGTGAGTGTAAATATATATATTTTTTAAAAGCTCATCAGACTACAGTAGTTTTTCAGTTGTGGTTAATTGGCTCTTTTTAAATCACTATTAGATACACCAGATAGTCACAGGGTCAGCATCAGGCCGGTATGGACCCATAGAATAATTTTAGTTATCTGCTTTGAATGTGGTACATTATGCATAAATAGACGGAAGTGCTGCACACAGTGCACTGTCACGTACTCAGTTTATGAAAGAAGGTTTGTCTCAAAAGGTTTTGAGTTGCTGAAAAAAATCCAGATGTGATCAACTTTTCAACTCATTTTGTGAAAATTTATTGTGAAACACAATAAATATTGCAAACACACTGATGCATTGGACAAAAAAATATTCAGTAGTTATTTATCTCAGTGACCACAAACTAACTTACAGCTTTGTGACAAACCGAAGTTGCACAACAGGCTATCTTCTGTTATAATATCCAAGGCTATTGGACTCTTGTGAAAAAAAATTTAAAAAAATAAAATCTGTTTTTAAGAGAAAGAATTCCAAATAAAACTCCCGCACGCAGTCAAACTTTCAAAAAATAAATATTAACAACGTTCTGGTACTAGACCTTCAGCAGGCAAATGGTGTTACACACTGAGAAGACATCGTTTGTAGGAGGTGACTTGTTTGTCTACACCAATCACACACTTCCTCATAAAATGATAAGGCAACAATTACATAACAATCACTCACATCTCCATTATTATATATTGGGTTTAAGCTTACATAAAACTCTCTGTGGTAGCAATACTATATCGTCCCAGAGTAATCTATATACGTGGATGTAGATTTCTGTATAATAAATGTAAACCAAAAATATAATAAAATGCATTCATAGACTAATTTGATCTCAAATCTTGCCGATACCTTTTGACCTTCATCAATAGATGAATAGAGGAAATATAATAATAATTACAACATGTGACCTCACCATTATTGTCTTGAATTTCTTGTAAGGTCACATGTTGTAATTATTATTACATTTCCTCTATTCATGTGTTGATGTTTTGGTTTACATTCATTATACAAAAAATATACATCCACCTAGTATAGATCACTCTGGGACAATACAGTATTGCTAGCATTGAGAGTTGTAAGCTTAAGCTCGATTTATACTACTGGAAATGTGAGTGATTGTTATGTAATTGTTATTTTATGAGGAAGTGTGTGATTGGTGTAGACAAACAAGTCACCTCCTACAAAAGATGGCTTCTCGGTGTGTAACACCATCTGCCTGCTGAAGGTCTAGTACCAGAACATTGTTAATATATACTTTTTGAAAGTGTGACAGCATGCGGGAGTTTTCTTTGCAACTTTTGACCTACTTGTCCCCCTCTGACACGCCTGTCTCTCGTTATAAAGGTGCAAAGTAATTAACTGTTCTAAAAGAAAGAATCCAACATATTTTAAAATCGGGTGTCTAAATGTGCATAGAAATGTTCTTGAAATTTGAGTCCAGTCATGACGCACAGTTTGGAAGGACATGCTGTACACAGTCATCCCATCTGAGGGAGCTGTTGGCAACAATTGGCTCTTTTTATTAGTTTCTATAACCCTACCTTTAATAATGAATATATAAATCACTGGCAATATTATGTAGACATCAACAAAAAGTCCTAAACATCAATACTATATATTTCATGATTTAGAGTTTTCTGTTTAAATATTTGTTGTGCTTCACTTTTTTACTCTCCGGCCTTCTTTTTATCTTTCCCCTTCTCTTTCCAAACTCTGGATATTTCCTTTTATTTACCATGGGAGCAAAGTATGTGTACATAACTTTATAAAAGTCTGAAAGCATTCATGAAAATAAAACTTTATGGCAATATATGTTTGTGTGGCCTCAACAGTTAAATTGTCTGACACTCCTGTGAGTTTTGCTTCATCTGTTGGGGCAAGGCATCTTAATCATGATGAGTGGCACATCTTGTTATTACCAGCATAGCTCCCAACATCCACCTAAGCCAAGGTCTAATCAGACAGAAAAAGTGAAAACACCTGTGTTGGTGTGCAGGGTCTTTAAGAAGTAAGGGGATACCACTCAGTTGTCCTGGGATGCAATTCTAAAGTTTATGTATACAAATAACCTGCTTTGAATTGATCTTCGATATCACCACTTTGGTTTAGTGTTTGGTGTGAACTGGGGAAACAGACTACCTGCACCAGGTAGAAAGTGTCTCCATTGATCTCTGTTCAGGTAGACCCCAGACACAGTGAAAGCAATCTCTAATACTGACTGAATTCTCCTGCATATTTTGAGTTTTTATATGCTTGTAAATTGAGGATTGTTGAACATGGAAGGTCATTCTTGACCTTTGAGAACAGTGCAAAAAATAATTTAAGCTTAAAGGTCTTAATGAATACTTTTGCGTTAGTTGGACAAAAACCATTTGAAGACGTCACACTGAGCTCTGGGAAATTCTGGTGGGCATTTTTTGCAATGTTTCCCATAGATTTAAGTGATGAATCAAATAATAATTGAAAGATAAACCGATCATTAAATTCATAGTTGAGTGGATTTGCTTATGTAGCTTCATCTCCCGCTTACATCTTGTCAAACTCATTCATGCAGTGGTGCGGATGAATATTGCTAAAAATAACCCCTCCTCCCAGTTGAAACTGAATGTGGAGCAGTAATGTCAGACCAGTTCAAAGCACTGAGACGCATTCCACCCTACCAGGCGGTATCTCAACATGGGGCCCTTCAGTAGGCTGGCTGTCTATTGTCTGTGTGGAGGTCAATTATATTTCCTGCAGACTTACTCCAGCAAAACAAAAAAAAAACAATCGTCATGACTCCCCTTATTGCAAATAAGATCAAAATGTTGACCATAATTAACCCTCTTCCACTATCACTGACAGGCTTCACCAGGTCAAATATGCTGGGTGAAAGAATGACGTCCAAATGGGCAGCTGCAGTTTTCTTCCCCTTAAAGTCCACCAATCACAGCCCTAGAAGCAGAGAAAAGCAGTATGGGGAAGTAGGTTAAAGTTCAATCAGGGAGGAAGGCAAGTAAGGCAACACTGCAGCCAGATCCCACAGTGGATCCCCTTTGTCGTGTTGGTTAGAAACTCAGCAAACTTCACTCTTGCAAAAACAATGCTATTGGGTGATATGTGTCTGAATATGAAGCGGGATGGTGGAGGGACGTGCTCCTGCAGACAGAGCAGAGGGCTATGTGGGGGCAGGGTTTACAGGGGTTAAAGGTCACAAGCCTCCTGGGTTTCTTTGACCAGCAAAGCGCTGAATGGATGAGCGAGATGGCTTAATAAAACTACCCGCAGGCCACTCTGAACTTATGAGTTTGCAGGGAAAGTTTTTCAGGGGGAGTCCACACCAGAAGAAAAAATGAATGCATAACCCCCCCCTCAACAACAAAAAAAAAAGAGGAATCCAATGTTTTGTGAGAGGACTAGGTACAACATCCGCAAAGATTGCGTCGCCTGCGCTCCTCTCCCCACCCCCACAAAGAGAAAAACAACAAAAAAAAAGATGCTCCCACGATTTCATGCATGGCAGAACTTTTTATTTGCGCGAAAGGGTGGCAAAGAGGGCTTTAGAGGGTACAACATCTGCGGGCTAAGAAGGTACGTAGCGATATTGGAGTTTTCTGCGTGATGGGTAGCGATTCATTCAATTGAGTGAAGCTCAACACAAACCAACGGTAGGCTGTCTGCGTTTCCTCTCTATTCTATTACAGACTGACGCATGTGGTCATTAACGAGTTTGGGAAGGGTTTGTATTTGTTTCCAAAAGTTTTAATAATTATTCCTAGTTTGGTTTATTTTGTCTCATCGGGCTGCTGATTCCTAAATAGAGAGCGTGTGCACTAATCTTAATGCATTGTCTGTCTTTTAAAAAATGTATTTTAGGCTAATTGAATAGCCAAACTTAATGCATTTTGTACTTCAGGAGTCACAATAGCTTTATAAGTTTAGTACTTTAGTACTAAGTTGATTTTCTCTTTCTCTATTGGCGCTTGGGCTCACCCGGGCTCTGTTTTAATAACCCGCAAAGAGTTTCAAATCCATCCAACCACTGTTGACCAGCTGGTGGTGTTTGTATTAGGTAGGCCTACGTAATTGAATAAACGCGCATGTGATTGGCATTGAGATGCTTTATTTAATTGACGGGGGTTGACGCGCTCATCATCACATCGCAACATGCAGTTGGCGCCACTTTTTTAAACTGCAGGCAGAGCGCTGCGACCGCGTGTATAAACCATAGGTATAAACTCATCATAACTCAGTTATAGAGTCTCCAGTTAAACATACGAGTTCATAGAAGAAGGGAAAAACCGATATTGTGACGTTTTGTGCTCGTGCTTTTTCAAGATAGAGCCTCTAGGTTTAAACTGCCTGCTCGTGCGTGCTGCATGGGCAGTCAGTCAGACCTGTTTCAGCCTACAAACATGGAACATGAAAAGTATGGCCTGTAGCCTATACAGCAGTGATAGACTGCTGCACTTTAAAAGAACCACTGTGTTCTAAAAGAACTGTGTTGTGTTCTTTTAGAACACAGTGGCACCACATTGAAAATGCACATAGCCCTATTTATACATCCAAATGTCCATAATCATGGTAGCACCCCATTATCAAGACATGGGTTTAATGGGAATTATATTTTCCCACAATCCCTTTGGTGGTCAGACTTTTAAACTCCCTGTAAGGTCCTTGATGGTGCTTCAAATGTGCACATACTGGCTGCTTGTATGTTGTGGATGTTGTGTGTTTTGAGTTATGTAGCAAACATGCTGCTCTTAACTAATTGCCCCTAGTGCGATTATTAAAGTTGACTGAATTGAATCTTTCAAGACCTTATTAAGTTTTGACATCAGCTTTCAATAGTGGAAAGTAACTAAGTACATTTTCTTAAATAGCTACTTAAAAGTATGCTACTTCATAGCCTACTTTTTACTCCACTACATTTATCTATCTATTCTGACCTTTTAGTCCCATACACACCAGCACGTACCTTGAGATCCTCGGGCAGAGGTCTGCTGTCTGTTCCAGAGTCTCGACTGAAAACTAAAGGGGACAGAGCGTTTGCTGTCAGGTCACCGAGGCTCTGGAACAGCCTGCCCGAGGAAATCAGGTCGGCTGAGTCAGTGAACTCTTTTAAGTCCCTTCTTAAAACATACTTTTATAGGAGAGCCTTTCCCGATCTTATTTGACTTTATTTTATCCCTTTTATTTTATTCTATTTTACTTATTTTACATTTATCTTAAACGTGTATTATTATTATTATCTGACAACTTCAGTCACTGATTATTTTGCAGAGCCCATTAAACACATTACGCTACTCATTTAAACTACTCATACAGACTGTAATCATCCTCCAATAATGAGTTCAGTTCAACTAATTTTCTTCATTTGTCACCATCACTTGATTTTGATCTCTTTCAGATGATCCAGACTGGAAGTGTCTTGCCTGAAGGAAGTAATTGGCACGTTGGTCTCCTCCAACTTCCCTGCCACTGTTGAGGTCCTCCAGCTAAGGTGCATCTAGTGTAGTTAGTGAAGTAGTTCAGTATCTACTACCCTAGTTGCTCCTTCTGGCTGGACGGCTTGTTCTTTTTCGGGATCTGAAATATTTTTCACTACATTTGCCCTGAAAACATTTTTGTGATGACTCTTTTTTAGAACACTAATGTTTTGGAAGTCAGACTTGTTTGTAATAGCTAGAGCCAAAATGTTGTCGCCTTTTTAATCCACAGATACCTTCACTGATAATGGACAGAGAAGTATAGTAGTCTGCTGAGATGATTAATCTTAAAAATCTTCATTACAAATAAGTTTAAAAAAACCCTATAAATTGCTTAAAGGAGTGTGGAAAATGACACCAGGTTGCTATTGCATCTATACAAAATGTAAAATACATGTTTACAACATTGTAAACAAACATAACTTTTCTTAGTCATAATTTCCGTTTACGTTAACATTTCAATATCCTGTGTTACATAAACTGGAGGGTGAATACATTGCTGTCAGTGCGTATCACATTCATAAGTGCAGAGGTGTTTCACCTTTTTAGTGACTCATGACTTTCTGAGCTGAACATGTCGACTTTGCAGTTCCAAAGTGCTCACAGTGCAGGTAGAACATACTGATCTACTGCAGTTTGTGCACTTCAGGTATTGCTGGTCACCTTCCCTCAAACGCCAGCCTGTTTACACTTGAAGGTGGAACTGTGGTGGGTTTACAGCGAGTTTTGTTGGTTTGCTCTCAGCTTCTGCCAGTTTCTGCTGTGCAAATCCATGCAAAGCTCTCTGTTTCTCAGACACGCAGCCAAAGGAAGAGATATGGGTTTTGTTCTCTGTTGTTCCAAGCTTTGATGAACACTTGAAAGACTAAAAGTCGTATTCACCGCAGGCACAAGAGAGCAGCTGTTGTTTTCCTCCCTCCTGTTGCAATCATGCTAAGGCATATTAACAAAAAGTTTCCTCGGCGTTGCTGTTTGTCTCGCTGTTTTCAGGTGGATGGCTTCACAATTTCAATACTTGACAAAATGAAAGAAATTGCACAGTATCCATCTGCAACCCGCCAGATGTTGTGAACAGCTACACATTTATCAGATTGTACTAATTTGTTAGGATTAGCACGGTTAAGATAGAGGTGCTTTTCTCTGGCTTAATGAACTGAGTTTCAAATGTTGGCCTCCCTGGTGTTTGGCATGTAAACTGATCACTAGGTGGCAGCATTTCAACTTTATTGGCTCTGTGGAGCTGAATTGAAGGAAGATAATTCAAAATGAAGAAGTAATCAGTGCAAAATAAAATGCCATTATTGTATTGACTTTATTGATGTCTGTAACTATTGAAGATAAAAGGAGATAATGTTCACTTTTGCTTGGTTTGGACAGATTTCCGAGAGTTCCACGTGCTCTTTGTGCACTTTCTCCATGTGGTTCAGTAATAAAAGCTCACTTTCAGATCGTATCCGACTCTTCTGCTTCATTTTCACTGCAGCCTAATGCATGTGATCCTCGTGGACACATTATCATCTAACACGACAACAGCTCGTGCACCGCATGAATCCCCTCCTTATCTGCTCTCCTGCAGCCAGGCAGGGCCAATGTATCAGCTCACACCACTGCTATTACACGAGAGGGGAGATCTCTGTATAAGCGCAGGTTCACGCCGTGGCGCGCGCACTTTTGGGGGAGCGCGCGCATATATCCGGGGCTCGTTCATCTGTGTACCGAGCTGAGAGTCAGTGCCGCAAGTGAAGAGGGACTCGTAAGTTACCAGCATCGAAGTAGCTTCACCAAGAGGCTCAACAGAGCAGCTTTCCAAGCGGACGGACCGTTGAGAGGGGAGGAAGAAAGCGGAAGGATGCTGATCCAAGCTCAGTCGGGAGCTGCAGCCTCACCTCTTCAGCGCAAATACGGGATCCTCCTGTAACTTTTGATGTGTTGAAGTTTATCTCAGCGATTTGGTGCTCTATTCTGACCTGTTCGGCTAAGTGCTGCTCGCCTGCCATGCTTGGTCCGTCAGTCCACAGTGCGCTCTTTCTATGCGCCTTCCTCCAGCTGTTCTCCCTGCCCGGCGGACAGGTGCCAAACTGCCAGGAGGTGCGCACCGTGTTTCACTCTCTGCACCCGGGCTCCAAGTGGATCCCCGAAAACCCAGTGTCAGGTAACTGTCATCCACTTAAAGCATGTCCTCACAGCTCCACGTTTTTTATGTCTGGTAACTGCATCCTTAGATCGTCTGCACTTCTGTAGCTTAACGTGGGTTTCTACCATTTCACTTCTGACTGTAAACACTCAAATTCAATTCCACTGTTCAGATTCAACAGTTCTCTAACACCATTGAACCTGTTTTCCTCACTATTTCAAGGCTGCTGTGTTCTCCAGTATCAGCAGTGAGCGCCAACCCACACACACTTTCCATCCCTCTGGCTGAACATTTACCAACCTGCTCTGAAAAAAAAAAAATCTATTGGCCACTTTAAGTACCTTGTTAAAAATGTGGGCTGAATTATATAAACCGCCAGTTAACTGTTAAATAACAATCTTAGAGAATTGATCCACTCCAGTATTGATCCAAACATGGAGCCAAGTAACCTTTCCTGAAAACTGACTTTGATTTGGTCAGTACTTTTGGATACTGGAAGCAGATATGAGCATATTGTTGCAGGTCTTTGTTATGTGGGTTTGAATCCTCTGCTAAGTGTGTTCTAGGTGATGATGGACTGCACACAAAGAAAAAGATCAGCACTCTTCCTTTGTGAGAGTTGATTAATAGTCATGTACAGGCTGGTCCCTTGGCATCTTTTCCTCAGCCACATTGTCGCAGAATATAGATTAGTGGTGTGATATGAATTGTGACCACCCTGGAAACACATTTGTAATTATCCCAACTCTATAATTATTGTTCCCTGGAGCTCAAATGTCACTGACTCTTCCTCGGTTGAGGAAAGAATGTGTCTTAAAAGAAGTGACTCAACGTTTGAAACGTGAGGAAAAGAACAATGAGTTAATGGTGAAATTGTTGAGGTCTTTGCGGGATAGAGGAACAACTAGAATGCCCCATCCTATTTTGTAGAACACAGCATGTTGGTGTACCGCTGGAGCCTGTTGCTTGCATTCTGATTCAGTATGTAAATGGGGATCCCTCTCATGTGGCTGAATCATAGCCAGCTGCAAATGTTAATTTGGTCTTTTAGTGTCATGTCAGCAAGGAGAGGTGCTCCAGGTTAACTGTTTTCTCTCCATCCTCAGCGTGCACCTGAATCAAAGAGGTCTACCAAATAACATTAAGTGTTCAGTGAACATGAAAGAGTGTAACGAATGACAAAATGCTTCAAATCAAACAGCAGGAAAAGATGTGCAACGCACTTTGAAGCATATTTTGTCATGCTCCCTCTACCACAGATTAATCTCCCATCTGTGGGTGCATGCAGCACAACCGCTGAGTCCTTCTTTCCCCCATGCATCCATCTTTATTCACACACCCTCCACGTAGACCATCAAGCATTTTATCTGCCAGCCAACGAGGGAATCATCGTAGCGGGCCAAGAGAAATATTTAGCCTTCCCACATCTGAGTCTGAGCAGCCCAGCTGAGCCGCACACCAGGCGGCTCAAGACCATTACTGACACTGGATATCAATTCACCAGTCTGCCAAAGGACAATTCATCCTGGCCAGTTAAGAGGTAGTTTTTTTTTACACATTCCCATGATGCTCATGGATACTCTGCTGCGGATTAATTGCTGGTTTTATTAAGTGAGCAAATTCTTCCAAATTCATACATTTAGAGTCAAGTCTAGATTTACAGATTTATGTAGATTGTGATACTGTTTGAGGTCTCCTAATTTTATGAATAGCTTATAAACATGATTTTGAAACGACAACATGTAAAGTCTGCTAAAGAAAATGTTGCTTCTGTTTTGGGTCTCAGAGACTCCAGATGTAAAACATGGTTAACTACAATGAATTTTCATATTTTCTATATCTGTGACATTACTCTCCATTAGTAGTCTAACAGGGAGTTACAACTCTCTGGGTTGTAAGTGACTGTGTGAACATGGCTTTTTGGCAAACAAAATAAATATACAGTATGTGTTAATGCATAGCCCATATTACATATAAAACATGAAATATTTTCTGTTTTGGTAATAACAATGCTTTATTATTTCCATATATATTCATCAAATGAGGTTGTGACAAAGGGAAGGGTTACCTGTCCAGTACATTTATACACACTGGGTTTTGATAATGTCAGACTAAAAGGAAAAACTGTTGCAACTGTTGTTAGTATTATTACACATACAGCAGTAAAACAATGAAGAAATCAAGCTTGTGTCAACAAAATACATGGGTTAATAGAGGGTTAGGGTTATGATGTTAAAAAACGTGTTGTTCTGTAGTTAGATACAATCGATACAGAATAGCATAACTGAACCAGTGTAGTAACAGGGAGACAAAAAACTCCTTACCAAACTGCACTTGTAATGTCATAATGCAGAAATTAAACATCTCCTTATATTCTGCAGACTTCCTGAACCCTAACAGTCCCAGAGGGATCTCAAGAGCCCAACTGTAGTAAAATATGATGGGATGTGATTTCAGCACTGCAAGTGAGTGAGTAATTGGTTTCAAGAGATTTGATTGTAAAATAATTCTATAGTGTTTAGATTTTTGGAGAGAAAGACTTAAAATCATATCCCCAAATCACTAGCCAAGCAAATTTAGGCCAGCAGTGGGGACGCCACATGGTGTCGGGCCTTGGCTGAACTACAGGAAGTCTTTCATACAGTAGATTAGTGAAGTCTTTTTCAAATCGGCACCAACATTTTTGCAACGATAACGGCGTGGATCCAGAGAGAAATTACATTAAGCTTGTAAAATGTGTGATTCATATGATGGAATAACGCAGTGGTACCCAAACTTTTTGGCTACCACTGAGATGTCTACTTGTAACCCACAGACCACAGGCTGTGACCAGTTTGGCCAAAGAGTGATTTTTCCCGCTTGTATTATATGGACCATTTTCAGGGATGCAAGTATCCAGTAATTCACAAGAAAACAAGCAAAGGTTACAGGAAATTCTGGTAAAATAAACATAATTTTATGTATGCTAACACAATTATGTACTTTCTGCTTTCCTAGATTTCTCCTGTGACTGTATGCGGGGGTCCTGAACCCCAGGTTGTAAACCGCTGGACTGATCTAATATTGATTTATTGTTTTTCAGTGTGTGTAGAAATACACAGAACAAAATTTTAAATGCAACACTTTTGTTTTTGCTCCCATTCATCATGAGCTGAGCTCAAAGATAAAAGACTTTCTCTATGTACACAAAAGGCCTATTTCTCTCAAATACTGTTCACAAATCAGTCTAAATCTGTGTTAGTGAGCACTTCTCCTCTGCCGAGATAATCCACACCTCACAGGTGTGACATATCAAGATGCTGATCAGACAGCATGGGTATTGCACAGGTGTGCCTTAGGCTGGCCACAATAAAAAGCCATTCGAAAATGTGCAGTTCCGTCACACAGCACAATGCCACAGATGTCGCAAGTTTTGAGGGAGCGTGCAATTAGCATGCTGACTGCAGGAATGTCCACCAGAGCTGTCGCCCGTGAATTGAATGTTCATTTCTCTTCCATAAACCGTCTCCAAAGGTGTTTCAGAGAATTTGGCAGTACATCCAACCGGGCTCACAACTGCAGACCACGTGTAACCACACCAGCCCAGGACCCTCCACATCCAGCATCTTCACTTCCAAGATCGTCTGAGACCAGCCACCCGGACAGCTGCTGCAACAGTCGATTTGCATAACCAAATTTCTGCACAAACTGTCAGAAACCGTCTCAGGGAAGGTCATCTGCATGCGCGTCGTCCACATCGGGGTCTCGACCTAAGCGCAGTTTGTTGTCGTAACCGACTTGAGTGGGCAAATTCTCACATTTGATGGTGTCTGCCACTTTGGAAAGGTGTTCTCTTAACGAATGAATCCCGGTTTTCACTGTACAGGGCAGATTGCAGACAGCGACACCAGATACTGACTGGTTTCCAGACCCCCTGGAACCCCCCAATACAGTAAAACTGCACATTTTCTAGTGGCCTTTTATTGTGGCCAATCTAAGGCACACCTGTGCAATACCCATGCTGTCTGATCAGCATCTTGATATGCCACACCTGTGAGGTGGATGGATTAGGAGGAGAAGTGCTCACTGACACAGATTTTGACAGATTTGTGAACAATATTTGAGAGAAATAGGCCTTTTGTGTACAAAGTCTTAGATCTTTGAGTTCAGCTCATGATGAATGGGGGCAAAAACAAGTGTTGCATTTATAATTAGTTGCATCCCTAACATTACATCATCAACAATGATCACATTCACTGCTATCACTCATTCTTACACACAATAATATATAAATACATTTTGTGGAGGATTTCTCTGTGTAGCTCTACATATGCACAGCCTGTTTATTTCATTTATTATTTATTTACTCAGTTACTTTTCAGGGACGATGCACATTGATCAACGTCACTGTAAATGTGCTAGCTTTAGCAAAAAGCCACATTTTGAACTGTTGCCTCTTAAATTGGCCATTAAAACCACAATGAAACACACAGCATGTGTGAAGAGTGTTGTGAAAAGTAACAACTGCAAAATCTTTCATTATTCTCAGAAACGTTTAAAGTCACATTCTGTTCCTAAAACAGTTATATTCTAGTCACTGGAAAACTGTGCTTCCTTTAAAAAAAAAAATGTGACAGATACTGAAGTTTTTAGGCACGTCCTTTTTATCCAGTGACAACATTAGCATGTCTATCATCATTCTTGATGATATTTAAGCGACACATAAAGATTTGAAAAATAATAATAATATAATATCCTGAATGAGTTATGGCCCATAGCTTATACTTTACTCAGGATTTCCATAAATCCCAGCTTTTCCACTTTTGTCTCAATAAGCTGACTTTTTAAAATTTTATTTTATTTTTTACTTTTCCAAAAGCATGAAATATGCAGTCACTTCTCATGTTCATGTCTCATCCATAATCTATCCTTGTCATTAATTTATGCGGAATAAGTTGGAGTAAGCCTGATGTAACACAAGTTCTTCATTGAGAAGCACAGCAAATGAAAGATTGATGAAATTAAATGTTGAGCATGGCTTGCTGTGATTTGGCTGAGGCAAGTATCACTGTACTGTGTGTGTGCGCGTGTGTGAAATGGAGAGACGTGAAGTAGCCTGTATTGATATGGTGTATTGTGTGGGGGAGTTGGCTGATTCAGAGAGATGTCCGCAGGACGGCAGAGCAGAATTCTAATAATGTTGCATGAGGTGCCAGGGGGGGCAAAACACCAAAAAACTTTCCACCAACATGATTCAAAAGAAGTGAGTGCAGAGAGACAACACTACAGTAGAAAACAAAACCTGACTGCGCTGTAGGAGTACCACGCATGTCTTTATTGTGGTTCCTGCTGTGGGTGGTTGAAGTGTCTGAAGGTGAAATGGAGGCTGGGTGTCAGGTCACTCCATTGTGTCGTCATATATGTGCAGGAGGCAGGCGAGCTGTGCTGATCACTTACCCCAGTACATGAGTAGTGGAAGTGGCTCTATCAGGGTCAGCGGCAGTTTGAGCGGAGGATGTGGTGGATCTCTAGCAGCTGACCTGACTCATGAGAGCAGCATCAGATTCTCACTAAATGGAAGGGTAATACTAGTTTGCTGGAGGCTGAGCTGCACAGTGGTCCTGCAAAGGCTTTTTTTGGGGGGGTTGACTTTTTTCCTTCTGAGCTGCAACAATTATAGTTTCATGTTGTTTTGATGTTGCTTAGCAGGATGCCAAAAAAAGGTCCAGAAGATGTGGACCTCTTAGTAATTAGCTGTATGGTCAGGTCATCCGGGCTTGTTGTTTATCGTGAAAGACAAACACAACAACAAAGAAGAAACGCGCCTGCTGTTTAAATGACACCGCACACGACTAATAGGTGGATCAATTTGACCTGAAGCGAGAGGTCTTTGTGTCTAATTAAGCACTGAGTTGTGTTCTGTTGATTCAGTTTGTCTCTTTTTGAAAAAACCCTCTTTAATGAAGGGCACTTGTGTTTGTTGCCTCATTGTTTTGTGTACACTTAAAAAAAACAGAAATCGGGCTCTTTCTCATTCATGCTTCCAGCTTTCAAATGATTGCTTCATCAAACGGCTTAAAGTAGAACAGTGAGCAAAGCACTAAAATGACTTAGAACGATTGTAATCCCCAGTAGCTAGTGATATTATTATTCCTTAGGTTGGTTGTAAATTGCATTATCTTCATTTCATTTATTGTCTCTACAAAGTGACACTGGCTTATTTTGCCCTGGAGAGGAAGCCAAGGAGTCCCACATGTTTTGACTTAACACTGGTGGTTGATGTATAATTTATGCTCATAATGAACAGCTTTTAACATATTCTATATCTTAATACAACTTGTTTTTCCCCCATGGTCTCCATCATTAAACTTGCATAGTGATAGCTTTCTAATTGGTGCTGGGAACTAGCAGACACATGCTGTATTTGTGGCTGCCCCCATTCCCTTGGCTTGGACTCCCCGAGCTTGTTAAAGATGTGACGGGAGGGACTCCTCTCGTCTGTGTGTCCTCTGGACTGTTTGAGCCCCTGCTGGAGTTTTCACCCGTGGCATTTCAGCAGAAACTTTCTGCCACGAGAGAGGCAGAGAAGGATTGTCAGATAAGGCTGTGACCAACTGAAGGGCAGATCAATGGATTTTTGAGAAGGCCTTGAAACTCATGAAAACAGCAGTTGAATTGTCTGGCCCATAATTTCAGTGTATTGATTGAAAGTACGTAACATTTTAAAGTCGCCACCTTGGAGTGAGATTGTATGTTAGGGAAATTTACATCTAAATTGCTCCTAGGCCTGCACCATGTCACTTTCATTTTGCGTGAGAGAATTGGCCATCAGGACACAAAAATCAGCTAATTAAACAATAACAGACTGATAGAAAGGTGTTTTCAGTGCCTGATAGCTAGAGAAACAAGCTCAAAAGGGATGACAAGGAATTACAATAAAAGAGGGGGGGGGGAGAGAGACAGCTGAGCCTAAAGCAAAAAGGAGAAGCAGGAAGCTTATTCCCAAGTGATCTGTCAGTCAGAAAGAAGCCTTTATTTAGAAGGTGTGATTTTATTATTTGTGAGACTCTACGGGGAATCATTCTCCTGCCGAATCCTTCACTTATTCCTCACCGTTGTGGAAACTTCTGTAATGAAACGCATTTATCATCCGCAAAACGACAAACGTGCAGATGAAGCTGTCTGTTTTGCTGGAGATAATTGCTAAATCCCTGTCTCTTTGCTGCAGCGGCCACGCTCACCTCACCTATGGTGCCACTGACAGCTTAATAATTTTGCCCCTGCAGTCTGAAATTAACTTGATCTTATCTGTCAGGAACCCTTTGTCGGTATTGATTTAAGATATTAAGCCTGTCAGTATGCATACAAAAGGCGCTGTGTGACAGTTTCATTGCCTGTTTCACTCATTAGACTCCACACCTTAAATCCCGATGGGAGAGAGTGGGGAGTTAGCTGAAGCTGTTCTCTGTTTGACTCCACAATACTTAATTATTGGGGAGTTAATTAATTATCAAGACTGTCACTCTGTTGCTTCTCCTGCTAGTTTAACTTCCCTCCATGCCTGCAGCTCATTTTTACAGTCTGAGCTCTGTTTCTGAAAATCTATTGTTTGAAGATCTCAAAGAGACAAAGCCTCAAACCAATAGAGATATTCACTTTTCATATTAAGATAAAGCCTCCGTCTTGACAAAAGCCTTTCCGCTGTCGTTTGACTTGCTTGCAAGGCTATATATATATATATATATATATATATATATATATATATATATATACACACACATTCACAATCTGAGCCCTCCATCCAAATTAATCTGTGCCTCTGTCTCTTTATCCTCCACACTGAAGCTGGCAGACTCCCCTGACATTTGTTTACCACGCCATCAATCAGGCCTTTGTCACTGACGCCTCTCAGACAGCCGATCCTGCAGAGAACTCCTCGACATAGCTCAGCACGTTACGACTGCAGCCTCCACTGAAGCTTTCAACATTCACATGGGACAGAGGGAGAGAGAGTGGGAAGCACTGAGGAGAGGGAACTCCTTTTTGTGTTTAAACATCAGATGGTTGTGCCCTATTTATGTCTGTGTGATGTCTCGCACGTGCATCGTTTTAGAGGGGTGATTTGGGAACAAGCTGGAAGAGAGTGCATATTCCACTTGACCTTTCTTTTTCAATAGAGGTGGTTGTAAGGCAGAATTGTGATAATGGCAACATCCATGTTGCGCAGTTCCCTCTTTCGTAAAGCCATCATTGAAAAAGTTTGAGCTGACAGCGTTATGGAGATGTTGTGATGGTGGAGGCATGTTCACATAATAAAACAATTAAGAGTGACTCTGTAAAAGATCCTTCAATGCATCATCACACAAAACTGAAGTTCGTTCACAGTCACTGCTGAGACACCTTCGCTATCCTTGATCAGGCTGAATTCTAACGGTGTAGTCTTATCTCCCTCCTCACTGTGATTTTTTTCAAACTGAATGAATTTCTTCAGGGCGTTTGTTCTTTGATCGGGTTGTTTACGGCTGTATCGCCCCAATGAAACGTCCTTGTCGCCTTAGTTTTGCTTTCACTGGCTTACATCTGCACCTTTCAAAAGAGCTCTGGGAATCCAATTATTTCTCGTCTGTGTAAACAACCTGTAGTGTCAGTGGCCAGGTGCAGTAATGTTGTTTCATCACCTTGAATCTTCTGGGTGGCTGTTACTGTTAAATGTCATACATAGTGGAAGCATGCTGAAGCCTGGGTTTGTTTGTCTGCACGCCGAACTGCTCCTGGCTCTCACCTGTGGGCCTAAAAACTTTTTTATCCTCTGTGTGAAAAGCGTAGCCTGGAGTGGTGGGGAAGTTTCTGTTGACCAAACCGTGGAAAACAACGTAGCCCTGGTGTATTGCTTGAATGCGCATCAAAGTGACTCATTTTTAGCAGCAATTTATTTTTGACTCCAGCCCTGCTTAATAACACAGCCTCTACATAATGATCACTTGCTCGTTAAGGCTGCGGAATCTGCTGTTGATAGTGTTTCCTGTGTTTAGCATGCAGATGATGCAGTGGAATATTTGTGTGCGAAGGAAGAGGCTTCTGTTGTGTGGAAATTAAACAAAAGTGGCTTTGCAGATCCCTCCCTCTGCTCATCCAGACTCCTGTCCTGTCTATGCTGATTTCCTGCCAGGTGCGGATCTGCAGGTTTGCCAAACCAAAGGCCCCACCTGCTGTTCCAAGAAGATGGAGGAGCGGTATCAGGTAGCTGCACGCAGCAACATGGAGTCTGGCCTGCAGGTTGTCAGTGCTCAGCTCAAGCATCTTATCATCCAGAATGCCGCAATATTCCAAGGTAAGCCGTGAGCGTGGTTTGTCCAAACCTGTCTCAAACAGACGAGATGTTTTCCTTTAGCTGGCACAGAGAAAAACATCATAACTGCACTTTTAAACCAGTAATTGACCTTCTCAAATCAGGACAGTCAGTATCCACTTTCTTGGCCACACATTCCTGTTCACGTCAGCAGCTCACTCCTCCAGACAGTGAGTCATATAAATAAAGCAGAAGCATAATACACGCAGACAGGGATGAGATGTTCTGCTGCTGCTAAACTAAATGTTAGGATGGCACAGACATTGTGGTTAAAGTGACTTTAGATGTAGTGTGGTTGTCGGTGCCTGACATGTTGTTCCAGAAAGTGACAGCCTCCTGAGATTTTTGCGCACTGCAGTCAGCGGCGGCTGTTATTCACAGAGTGAAAAACGCCAGTCAGCAGTGGTCCTGGAAAGCATTCACAGTTATCAGAGGTCAGAGGAGACTGACTGGTATGACTGGTTCTAGCTAACAGATGTATTCAATAACAACAGCTCAGTGCAACAGTGATGTGAAAAATGTACAAATACTGAATCCTGGAGACACTGAGGTTCAACTGCTGTCGGCTGAGGAGATGAGGATGAAGGTGCAGGAGGCAGGTGACTGCTGGAAGTGAATGACAGAACAATGAAATGGCACCTGGTCTAACAACAGTGGAAGCAGATGTATTATAAAAGTCAGCAGGAACAATGTGACACTGTCAAATCAGCATTTCTTTGCTGAATTGTTGCTTTAATGAACTGAGGCTGCTCAGGCAAAATGTAATCCCAACTATTACCATGTAGGTTAGGTAATGGATTACATGAGTATTTTCTGTAAGTCACTCGTCACAGACAGTAACTGGAGTGGTAATGGTCATCAGATCAGTGTTGCAGTTGCTTTGACACGGTTTTCCTCCTTTTCCTTGTTCCCTTTAAAGTTCTCAAGCGTTTGAGGAAATCTTCAATCAAGCAGCAATAAAGACCATTAATAAAGTCGGTTGATAAAATAAAATGAACAGTTTGACATCTTGAAACTATGCTCATTAACTTTCTTGTCAGACTTAGATGGAAATATTGATACCTAAGTACATTTACTTAAGTACTGTACTTAAGTATAATTTTGAGGTACTTATTTTTTACTTGAGTAATGCATGGAAGGATGTTAAGGATCAAAGCAGTGGTTCCAAAATATTTGGCATGGTTTCATATTTCTGTACTTTTACTTATTAAAATAGGATTTCGAATGCACCTTGTAAAACAGTAGGCTATTTTTTACATTGTTACATTGTATTAATACTTTTACTTAAGTAAATGATCTAAGTAATTGATTGATACCACTTTCAAGCTATATCCAACAGCCGGATAGCTTTGCTTAGCTAACCCAAGCTGCCAGGAAGATTTTGTTACCTTTGGTCAGAGCCAGGCTAGCTGTTTCCAGTCTTTTAGCTCAGCTAAGCGAACTGTCTGCTAGTGGTGGCTTCAGATTTACAGTACAAACTTAAGAGTGGTATCAATCTTCTCATGTAACTCTGTGCAGTAAAGTGGAGAAATGCATTTCCCAAAATGTCAAACTTCTCCTTTAAAAGAGATAGTTTACAACTGTAAAGTGCCAATGTCTGAAGGAATATGGAAATTTAATAGCTTTTTGGCGAGTCCTGGTACAATTACTAGGGGAAAGGGCAGTACAATTACAATAAATGTGTATTAATGTGCATGAAACTAAACATGCTTAAAAACAAAACCATAAATTAAGTTAATAAAATTACATGAATGATAAAAATGACGGTAGAACTGCCACTTAAATCTGACACAAAGCATGTGCTCCCTTTGCACCAGTAAACTATTGTCTACAAAAAAGTGACTGTATTACCAAGTACAAAATCAAAAAAAAGCTTTTGTTATCACGGTTACATGATTAAAAGCATGCAGCCATGAAAAAAGGCTTTCAAAAACTTATTTGTGGACTCTCACAAGTATGTAACTTTTAAGATAAAAAACATCTTCCTCTTCCTGATGAAAATATCTTTGCTCAATTCACTTGGTTTTGCTATGATCAGTGGCTAATGTTAGCCAGCATATGTTCTATATTTTTAGCATCATGCCGTCATTTCTACTGTACACCAAAAGTTACATTCAGGCTAACTCTAAACGAAAAACCTTTACATAAAATTGAAGTGACGGTTGTAAACTTTTAGAACTGCTTTCAACTAAACTCCCGGACAACAAAGGGGTACACAACTTTTTCTTTCACAGCGCTGCCATATTAGCAACAGCTGTTTTTAAATATTCCTTTCACATTTAATGTTGAGCTTTTGTCATCACGCTACAAAGGCCTTTTCAATCTGACGCAGCAGCTCTGTTTGCTGTCTTGGGGTTTCACTTGAAGTGGGATGTGCAGACTCACTGAGCCAACTTTTTTTGAGTGCGCACACTCATGGGTTGTGAAACGTAACACCATCCTGACATGACAATTAAAACTTTGGGTTTAATGGGGACCGTGGGGTGTGTTTGACTTGGTTGTTATACACTAACTATGTTTGAGACTGCTGCTGCGGTTTGGCTGCACTTTCCTAGAAGGGGTTCAATACTAATTGCTTTAGCATAGGGCTTGGGAGAACTCCCCAAACAGCCCCTGGACTGAAATCCTTTTAACATCCTGGTCTTATCTGTTTCCCTCTGCTTCATTTTCATCCTCTCTCTCTTCTCCTGTTTGCTTTTCTATCTCTCTCGCTCTCTGATCCTGTCGTCCTCCCTCTCCATTTCTGTCTTGCTCAATCTACTTGACTTTTCTTTCTCCTTCTGTCTTTCTCCGTCCGTCTGTCTCTTCCTCTCATGCTACTATTGGGAATTGAGTGCATGCCTTGTTTGCAATCTTCTTTGCTGCTCTCTGTCTCTTTTCTTCGGCGCTCACTTCTGCCAGAGATCAAAGGGCTTCCCCTCTCCACTCCTCCATCTCCCATCTCTGAGTACTCTCTCTATCCCTGCATCCCCCTCTCCTTCCAGCTGCCCTGCTCTGCTTTCCCAAGCCTCAGACTACACCAGAGGTTTTCACCCTTTTGAAGTCAACTTCGCCAAACAATAGAAAAAGTAATGGCTCTGTCTATCTTTGTCTTTTAAGCAGTAAGAAGATAGGCTGCTTTAACATTAGGCTTCTTCAAGATCAATACCAGGAAATAGGTAAGGCATTAGGAATTTCTAATGATGCGTGCTTCTTGTGCAGAACGCCTCATATGCCATTTGACAATCTAATGAGCCTAAGCTGATCTCTTTACAGTATCGCAGGGAAATACTACGTAATGGATAAACTGCAGCCTCCATTCTGATATGTGACAGACTCTCGGATTTCATTTTGATTCACATTAGCGAGATCATAACACCATCTTTCCCCGCGCATGCTGTGATGGCCTCGCACTCAATGGCCTGATGTTGTCAATTTAGCTCAAAATGAGAATCTGTAAACCTGCGCAGGATGCGCGTCTTTAAATCTAATCTTTCAAAATGAGAAGCTGATCTTGTGCATGCTGAGAATTTAATTTAGAAAATAAATGATGGAGTCCAGTTTTTCTGAACAGTGTATTAGTATGTGATGCTGCACGTTGTTGAACAGCCTGGAGGGAACTTGATACATGAAATCTGTTGCAGAGTTTTGAGTCAGTGCGGAGGAGAGAGGACAACTGTATGGGTGACATAAGAGGAAACAACTTCAAGGCGCACTACAATGATTTTACTCATCAAGATCAGTTAACATGCCACGAGGAGTACTACCAGTGTAATCAGTTACTGATTAGTCATGAGCAAATGTAGGATTACATTACTTTTCGTCGCTCACTTCATCTAAGATGTCCTCCAATAACTCCAAAGCCGCCACACACACACACTCATATTCAATATACAGTATGTAACGTACAAATAGAAAACGAAGCACTGTTAACAAGTGGCCACTTTGGAGGTGTTACCTGACCATCAGTAACTAGCCTGGCCTCGGTGAAGGCACACATCAGAAGTTATCTCGCCTTGGAGACCACTTCTTTTTAACAGAAAGCCTTTGTTACAATCTTGGCTGTGAAGTTTGAAAGAGAGGCGTGGAGGGTCGAACATAGAGACACTAGTGAGTTGCTTTATGGAAAGTGTACGATCTAGTTTTCAAAGGAACTTCTGCTTCTTTGAGTATCCCTTTGGCTGCAACTATTTTTCCAGTTAGTTTATTAATCATTTAATCCAAACAATGACAAAGGTCAGAATTTACTGTAAGCTTGCATGCCTGTCTCCTAGAAATTATGTTTATAGTCTACTAATTTGTTTGTTCAGTTTATTTTTTAGAAGAAAATGTAAACACTGATGAGTTATGTTCACTTGCAACATTTTTTTTCTAAAGCATTTACTGGGGCCTGTTTTTTATGGGGAGATGGTGTATGGTGGGTGTACAAAGCACAGAGGATGGTGCTTGCATCCATGAAGTCCACCATCCTTCCCTAACCTTAACCAAGTGCTGTGAGTGCCTAAACATAAACATAAAAAATGCTGTAGATGCTATGAAGGGATATTGCATTGAAAGATTGGACATCGTAGGATAAACAAATGAAATACGCTGTCAGTGAACCTTTAACAGATACATTCCGTAACACTTTACAATTTAGCTGATACTTACTTAATTAAAATGTTTCCTCATAATGTTTCTTAAATATGTAATCCTTTATCTAATCTTTGAAAGCGTATTTGCTATCTCAAATTAGATGTATATAAGCATACTTTCTTGGTGAGGAGCTTGCAAATTGACTATTTTGTCTACCTATTATCTAAAATGTAGAAGGTATTCAATTTATAATGATATGAAACAGAAACAAATGTCAAGCACTTTTGCTTGATAAATAACTTGATTTTCTACAGTTCTATTAATAAAGTAGTTAAACAGAGTGGTTTCAGTGAGTCTCCACCTTGAACTCTAATTAGAAAGATGCCAAAAAGTGAGGTGGGAAGTCAGTGTGTGTATGTGTGGAGGTC